GTTAGGAGTGTAGCATTCGCTGGGGAAAGGCGAACTTCATAAATTGTGCGTCACAATGGGCCGATGTAGTTATTATGAGGAGGAAGTCATTAGGACGGTTGGTTTAATGCAATGGATAACCTTGGAGGTTCAACTGTGGGCCAAGATCGGACTTGGTACTCAGTTTTAAAGCGGAATATGGGAAATGGGGCTGAGACTTATGATTTTAGATGACTGAGGACACTTCTGAGCGAGACTGATTATTCTCTTGTGTCCGAGGGCAGAGTATTGGGAATGCATTTTTCAGATGGGTACTAATGGCAGTTCAATGGATGAGCCCTGGTGGGATGTGAACCCTTCCGTTTCTTGGGGTGTGGTTTCGATCGTTACTATGTTTGGCATGAGTGATCGGTAGCCGAGTGTTGATTTATGTCCGGAGAGAAACAGAGAGGCAGTGAGTTATTAGGGTTTGTTATTCGAGGAGCGAATAACATGGTGATATCTTGAGTGGGCGGTCTGGCTGCGGGCCAGGCCACTAGAGTATCCAGATGTTTGGGAGGCCAGAAAGGAGGGAGTACCTTAGCATCAGAAGGGTCGGCTTTGTTCCAGATTTTGGAGTTCCTGTTTGGATGCAGGTGTCCATAGAAAAGATATCGGTGGGATTTGAGGCCTTTTCAGTGGTGCTTTCCGAGCTATAGGTTCAAGCTTGGTGTGGATAAAGAGCAATTTCGAGGGCGAAATTAAATCAAGTGGGGGAGAATTGTAACATCCTGGAATTCAGTTATAGCTCTTTGATCCTTTTCTTTCCTAAAGTTGTCAAAATTAGTACTTGAAAAGAATATGGAGCATTTGAGTATGCTGAGTGTAATGGAGAGTACGCAGCGCGTACTCATGAGCGTATTCTTAACGCGGAGTCTACCCAATACGTTGGGCGTACCGTAGTGTACGTTGGGCGTACTAAGTTCAGATTGAAACCCTAATTCTAAATGAGCCCCTATTTGAAGAACGTTATGGCCTCATTGTTGGCCACCATTTCCAGAGACTTGTCCATCCAAAACCCTAATCCCCGTTCTTGTAGCTAGAGAGTGCCCTTGAGAGCTTGTTGGTGTGTTCTTGAGCCATAAGAGTGGAAATAAAGCTTTGGAAAAGGAGTAAGAGCTCAAGCACTTGGATCCGAGCTTAGCAGTGTGAGATGTTTCATTTGGAGGTATAAAGCTTCAAACTTTCTTCCTTTTCTGTTATGTGTTCTTATATGGGATGTTTAGGGCTTTTGACCCAAAAGTTGATGGCTTTATGAGTTGATGAGTTCTAAGAACCTAGATCTACCCCTTGCTAGTGTATTTCGTGTTATAAGGTCATAAAAATCCAATCTTGGTCAATAACTGCTAACCATGCAAGGGATATGAGCTTAAGGAAGAAAATAGATGAAGGTTATGAGTGTTTAAAGCCAAACCAACCATGCAAAGGCACAAAGTCTTTGACTTTATGGACTAGGAGACTGTAAGGGGTCCATATTTGTATTTTGAGCCAATGTTTTAACTGTTTAAGACCATAAGTGAGGAAATAGTGAAACTGGGACGTACACTGAGCGTAAATCCCAATACGCATGGCGTAGAGTTCAATCAGCCTGATACGAGCGAAGAGGACGAGTACGCCCAGCGTAAGGATTTGGTACGTGCAGTGTACCCCAGGCGTTGACTTTCATTGACTTTTAGGTTGGGTCAACAAGTGGGCTTTTGGACCATTGCAGGGTTAAAATGGTATTTTACCCTCTATGAGAGCATAGGAAGGGAATAGTCTAGCCTTTGAGGGCCTTCATTAAGTTGACATATTTTCTATGTGTGATCAGGCGGAGGCTAGATTAGTGTTTCGAGTTCGAGATCTTTCGAGTTACCCGAGGTGAGTCTTCTCACTATACATTACCTAGAGTGGTATTTATATGGGACCGGAAGGTCTTATGTGCTTGCTGAGTTATGCATCTTGTATATGTGATATTATGTTATGTGTTATTGATCGGACCAGAAGGTCCAACGATTTATGAGGCCGGAAGGCTCAACCAGACCAGACCGGAAGGTCCAACGATGTATGAGGCCGGAAAGCTCAACCAGACCGAACCAAAGGGTCCAATGAGCTAGACCGGACCTAAGGGTCCAACGAGCTGCAGGACCGGAAGGTCATCATGGGTAGGACTGGAAGGTCTACCAGAGTTGTGGAGCCGGAAGCTCCACTGAGACACATTTTAACCGGAAGGTCACAGCCTCGAGTGGCTAAGTTATATGTATGTGGTATTGTGGGGAACTCACTAAGCTTCGTGTTTCCCGTGTTATGTGTTATGTGTTTCAGGTTCTTATCAGGATCGCAGGAAGGCAGCGGCTCGATTGTACACACACAAGAGAAAAGATTCATGAACGAGGATCCTGGATTTGAATAATTACTTTTGAAAACTATTTTGAAAAATGTTATGGCATCGACACTTGTGGTTTTCAGAACTATTTATATGTGGTTATGAGTTTTAAAACGTAAAAATTTGTTTGAAAATTTACGTCGTTACATTTTTAGTGTAGGATGATTGAGCTGAAGGAAGTGCTCTATATAGAAGGACTAAAATGCAACTTCATCTCCATCTGTCAACTTTGTGATGCTTGTTACAAAGTTATTTTCAACAGTCATGAGGGAAAAGTATTTGACTCTGAAAACAAGATCGTGCTTTCTGCATTCAGGGAGAACGATATTTATATGGTTTGATTTATTGGTTCAAATGCTGATACATTACTTTTTGATTTATGCTTTGCTATTTTTAAAACTTTTGAACATAAGTTTATAAGCTTTTAATTTACTTTTGGTTTGCTCGCATTAAATTTTTTTGTTTATTCTATACCAAAGAAGTTTACACTGTGAATATGCTTTCTTTTTCTACTAACGTTTCCTACATGATCTTCTCTATCAATAGTGACCTCTTCTGACTGATCTACTTTAAAGGGATCAACATGTCATTCCTTAAATGCAGCACTCTCATCGTAAACCAGTTGACGTTGAATCTTCATCTTTTCTTCAGCAACAACTGCCCTCTCACTGACGCTTATGCACATGTCGAATGACATGTTCTCTTATGCAGACGAGATCAGATGGGGGTTAACTGTGCCACCAGGTTTTCTTCTAGGCACATATATCTTCTATCTTGGACCACTTATTTCTGTTTCAATGAGATGAGATGAAGTTTGGTGACCTAGCTCAACTAATTTCCATTGACGTTGTCACTACAACTTGATGACCTCAATGATCCAAAGACTCCTTCAAAGAGAAAGCCATCCCACCTTTTTCCCTTTAGGGATTACAATGAATGGAACGTTCGAGTGTTTCCTTTGTGACTCTCATAATTCGAAGGTTACAAATATTGGATCCCTTTAACTCATTGGTTGCAAATACCGGTTCATGTTTTCTTTTGTTCTTGGTGAACATGAAGCTTGGAATCAATCCGCAGAGCCTCATCGATTAAATGCATTCTCTCTCTCTTTGTTTACTATAATTGTGTTATTTTTGTGTGATATGGTTGGTCATGTTTGATCTATTTTATATCAAAAATTCAAGTGGTAGATATCTAGGAATGGAAGTGTATTAATGACCATTCAATTCAAAAGATTTGATGGAACGAGTCTTTTATCACCTTACTGCAAAAGCTACACATCTTTCGTTGTGTTAACTATTTTCTTATTTTACTAATTATTTTGGTTGTTTTCTTATATTATTTAATCTCTTATACCATTTTGTAAAGGAATCCGACGGTGGCAAGTTTGAGCCTAGTATGTAACTTTTGACACATCATTGTCACTAGAAGCATGCTATTGTATGTGACTTAATCTCTCTAAGTCTCTCATCAGTGAGACCATCTACTGAGAACATCGATTCACCCTCTCACACTGATTGTCTAGCATTGTCTAAACTCTTAAAGTGAGATAGCCTGATCCAAATAAAAAATATTGATAAAAAGGCTAGGGTGTTTATTATTTTTAAGTTAATCATATTTACCTGACCTTGTCCTTAGAAGCATGCTTGCCATATGCATTAAATATTATGTTCTGCTGAAACATTGAACAAAACCCAATGGCTTACACTGATTGTATAGGCATAAGCATAGGAGATACTTGTCAGGTCCTTAAATAAGAAAGGGTTGTTCATGTCCATAACCTCCTAGTTTGAGATAGACATTATACTATTACGAATTAACGGTGAATCTTTGATTCTAGATTGAAACTTACTCTATGATAGAGTAGTTTAAACCACTTCTTGTTGATGAGTTAAACTGTTAATGAATCACACTGATTTCACCTCGCCATGACTGAAACAATCCATTCTCTCCCCTTTTCTTCTTAACAGAACTTGATGATTCACTGTGTAAAACCACACACTGATAAAAGTTAGGAAGTCTATGTTGATGGTTAGTCTGTTTACTATAGGCTATTACACATGTTGATCTATTCTTGCCCTCATATTCTTCTTTAAAGATTTATGATTCAGCATAATGTACCATACGTTGATGAGAGCTTGTAAATTCTATGTTAATGGATATATTATTGTCCATGATATATTATATGCATCTACCCACTCTTTCCCTTCTTCTCCTAATAAAAGAGATTTATGATTCAACGTATGAAATGGTCAGGGCTCTCGCTGATCGCTGATGCTCATTACCACTGATGACTTATCACCTGTTTTAATGGTAAGTTTTGGATGATGACTGAAAGATCCATCATTATCTTGGGAAACGATTTTTTGACGGCGCATATCTCTTATTTCATGATTACATAAAAAAAAATACTCTTGGGTATAAATAGGGAATTCACGACTCTAGGTCAAATTTACAAGCAATTCAAAACAATTTGAATTCACTCTCAAAAGGCTCCTAATCGTCATCTTCCTCCAAGCTTTCATCATGTCAAAGCCCCTGTACTAGTCTGCTCCTAGCACTAACATCATCAAATGTCCTCATGCTTCTGATGCTACCATCATCGTTCGATTGACAAATGTGGTGTTCTTATAAAAAAATCCCAAAGCAGTTCGTGAATTCTGGAATCGAAGATTTGCCGAATTTGTCAAAAGCGATCCACTTACCTATACATTCCGCAATGTTTTGGATCCTTTCTACCCTAAACATGTATGTGAGTTCTATTACACATGATATGTTGATATTGTTGCTCGAACCATCACTAGAACCATTGGAGATGGTCAATATAAGGTCACTATTGATCTGGAATCTATTTAAACTTCTCTTCGTCTTCCTCGATTTGAGAGTTAATCTGAAACTCCTTCTGAAGAAAGTTGTCAGACTGTTCGTGAGAAATTTGTGTACAACTTCAATCTTCCAGGCCTCACTCGTGATCCCTACAGGAATACCCTTTATTAGTGTTTTAATGTAGGGCGGAAATACTTAACAGGCATGATTGGAAAATGTCTTGGTCACAAGACTGGAACTTTGGATCAATTAAATCTCTTTGAGAAAAGGATCCTATACTCCATTGTTTAAAACAAAAAACTGGATTTTTCTTATATCTTTCTTGATTAGATGATTGAATGTATTTCTGGGATGAAGAGACCAGTGTATGTTCCCTACCCACGTTGGATTAGGTAGATCTTGTCTCATGAAGTAGGCTGTGTTGAAAGTCATGGGATTATCTTTCCTATTCCTGCTCTTTCGTCGAAAATTATCATTGATTCCCCATCTAAGGATGATATGTCCATTACTGCAAGGATGCAAAAGTGGACTGAAGAGCCCTATGTGGTTGAATCCTCAAACTCTGAAGAGGATAATGATGATGATGTTGGTGATGAAGAAGATAATGATTTAGAAGCTGATTATTAAAAATGGGCTGATGAGGAAGAAGACTCTGATAAAGATTAAGAAGACTTATAAGCTGATATGGGAGATGACTTCACTTAGAAAATGAACTCTCCTCCATGGTTGAATAAGCATATTCGTTTTTCAACCATTTCTTCATCCTCTTCCTCTACTGAATATATTATACATCGTTGATCAACCCCTCCAATGAAGATACTACTGAGCCAATAATCCAGGATGAAACTTCTCCAAAACTATCTCCTTCTCCTCAAGCTAATGCTATTCATCAATCTGAAACGGTTCCCTTACACCATCACCCATTACTATTACTCCTTTTCATCAGGGTGATCAGGGAGAATCCAACTTCAACTTTGAAACTTTTGTGCTTTCTCAACTCTCCTTAATTGTGTAGTTAGTTTAGTTAATGGATAAAAGATTGATGAAAGTTAAAAGGGACGTGGCCACAATGAAGAGATTCATGGCCCTTGATGATGGTGATGATATGGTTGTTGATGACACTCCACCAAATTCTACAGGTGATAACCATCCTCCATCTCAACCCCCATTAATAAATATTCCTCCACCATCTCATTTAAGAACTCATTCTCCTCCTCCTAACTCTCCTCCCCAATCTGATGCTGCCAAAAAGGGGTAGAATTATCAAGAGGGTCCTCAGCCAATGCAAATGCAGTTAGTGATTGCATCTCAGCATGAGATGACTGAAAGGGGTAAACCTAAAGTTGAGCTTCTAATGCAGATTGTTGTTGCTGAAATTCCAAATATTGATGCTGCAACTGATCAGCCCATTCTAGACACCGGTGACCAATCAGAAACCAATAACTATGAAGGGTTTCTGGACCTTGGTTTCATCTAACAAGATTTTTTTTTTTGGTTTTCCATTTAAATGTTTTCTATCATAGTTCTTATTTTGAGGGGAGTTTCCTCAAGGAACAAATAGTGACATTGATTTTGATGATGGTGTCTGCCTTAAAAATTATGGGCTATGAAAATGTTCGACTATCTTTGCCCAATTTTCATGTGACATACCCTTAAGGGGGTTGTTTAATGCGGCTGGGATATCTGCAGACCCCCGATTTCCTTAAAATAAGAATGAGCTTTACTTTTTCGGCCTCTGTAAACTTTTGCAAGACTCGAATCAATGCTCCGCAACAATTGAGCACGCTTCGGATCCATGTTAACCTTATCCAAATCAAATTTATTCGACAAAATACAAAAAAAAATAGTTAATTAAATAACAATCAAATTTATTCTGCAAAATACAAAGATTAGATGCACAACTGATGCGTTCCTTAAGGCGGGGAAAACATTATCCCAACCAGATACGTTGAAAGGGACGTTGTTCCACAAATACCTCCCAATTTCATGTATCAACCAATTATCACGCTTCCCGATAGGGGAATATGTGATCTCCCCATCGAAATCCAAATCCACGGGCTTTCCCTTGTTTGTCTATATCAACTTTCCCAGCTCGATATTTTTTTACATGCCCCTTCGTTTTTTTGGAAGTTCGGCTGAAGTACATTGCTATTAATAACCTAACTAAAGCTATTAATAACCTTATTTTTTATTGATTTTTTTATAATTAATTTAATTTTATTCTATAACTAAATTAAAAATACTAGAAGTACATTGCTATTAACAACCTAACTAAAGCTAAAGTTGTAATGACAAACATTAAGTTACTAACAAAATTAAGCACTTTGAAACCATATACAATACATTACTAGAAGTAAGTTGCTATTAATAATCTAATTAAGCCAAATGTATACATCCAATTTGCATATTCCAATTTCATCCAATTTCATACAATTAAGCTAAATGTATACAAATTTATACATCTAAGTACAAAATCAAACAAATGTATATATACATCCAATTTCAATTTCATGCCAAATTTCATTTTTAAGTCAATGTGGTATAAACATAAATTACAAAAAACATCACAAAATGCAAAAAAACTTCCTACAAATCTGAAAAGGCATAAAATCCAACAAAATGCACAAGCACTTCTTATCTCAAAATACAAACATAATCACTCAATAAAATTGAAAATTACTATCAATTTATCATCCAAATTACCTCCAAAATAGATAAATAATAGAAAATATGAGGAATTCGACCTTGAATGTGGGCAATTTCGGAATTAAGCTCAAGGGTCACCGGTTTTGGAGGTTTTACAATTATATATAATTCCAAAAAATGATACTTGTTAGATTAATAAACCATTTATAACCCGTAACTGCTTGACATGATTTAATATTTGTAATACCAATATTGTGGCGAAGGCGGATAGACGGCGGCAATGGATTTTAGGCGCTGCTTCTCAGTCATAGCTCCAAGACATAGTCCCAAAATGGTGGCGACAAGTGTATATGTCACGATGGTTTTTGGCATCAGAATAGCATTAGCGGTGATGGATATATATGGAAGGGCTACAACAACAAGTGACAGCGAAGTAGGTAAGCGATTGATGTGTTCTCGAAACATACCTATTGGGAAATTAACAGCCATGGTCAGTATGAGTATCTTTTGGAGCTTGGGTTGACTTATCAGGTTTTGTGCAATGACTCTCATAACTGCTGACAAACACTCGTAATTAATGTCGGATGCCATTGACATTGCCACCCTCATTAGTATCTCTCGGAGCATTGGTTGATTTTTCAGGCTAGCTGCAATGGCAGTTGTTGCAATCGTTGTCATAACTTTTGGCATGCAATATTTATATTCTCTGTTGGATGCTTTTGCCACAATTGGTTGGACGTTTCTATATGACCTTGTCATCCGATAATTCCCATGCTTAATCCGGTAGTCTCCACTCTGTCACATCATTTATAAAATTGCTTGTTACGTGCTGTTTATTTTTTATTATTGTTATTTTTTTTTATTATCAAAAGTTGTATCATGAAATTAAGAGGAAAATAAACATGTGGAAGCTACTATACCTGATAAGAGTCTTGTTTGTGTAGCTTCTTATAGAATGCATCGAAACCAAAGTTTGATGCTCCAAAATTCAAGACACTAATAGTAGCTGCCTTTGCTGCCAAAGGATAATAAAAGTCTTTCGTATCCCAGGCCTGATTGTGGTACAATTAATATCACATTAGTTCATTCCCATCAAGTCTTAGCTTTTTACAATTTCACGTCGTGTAATTTCCTTCGAATTAATTTCCATATAACAATTAAATAGTGTCCAACTACTATAGTGTTTTCAGTATATTCAGGTTTACATGATGATATTTGGTTATGTTATCTTTCTGGATCGAGGTCATGTGTTCAGCAATATTTATAAATATATTCAACATGTTATGAAATTTTGAAGTGCATGCTTACATTTGGATGCGATATTTTATATATTTTTTATCAAACTGTAAACTAACCGGCATAAAAAATACATACATTACATTTATCTCACAAAATACCATAGAATAACGGAAAGGAGAGCATAAACTCTTTAAGGAGTTTTAGCTATTTAACTATTTGGTTTGGTTTTAATATATTAGTCATATTCGTTTACGTTGTAGACTTACGCAACAAGATTTTTAAGGTATTGTTAGTCAAAGCTTCCGCTACTTAAGGAATTAATCGCACTGACATGCTCGGATTTTCAGGGTGTGACAAAAGTATCATTGAATAAAACTTTAAACGGTTTTGATTTTTTTTTTTTTTTTTTTTTGCAAAACGATATTGGAGAGAATTAAGAAACATAAATATGGAGAATGAAACCATACCTGAGAGGAGACTTTATTGGATGACTGTTGTGGCTTTTTGGGAAAAATTGGAGCTAACCTCTCATAAAATGCATCGAAATCAAAAGACCCTTGTTCAACCTTCAGCTTTTGGAAAAGTTGCAATGGTCTCATATAACGTGCATCGAGATTATTAAGATCCATTTTAAAGGAATTCTCGCCATATATAGAACATACGTTTCCCCATTCCTGATGAAAAACAACATATAAAATTAGTTCATTTGCATAGATTTTGAATACTTATTTCAAAAAAAGAGCATTTGTGTCGTCAATGACATACTAAATAATATAAATATTGTAAAAAATAGGGAAAAAGGCGTAAAGACTGGTTTATGAATTAAAATAAATGGAAACACTCTTCCTCCCATTCAGCCACGATCATATTAAAGGATCTCAACTCATAACTCAAGTGTCGAACAAAGCTCTCAATATGAAAATAACAATAGTTTCTACTTTGTATGTAGTAATTGTTTATTTAGCTTTTTAGATAAATATGAAGTTTTCTTTATGACTGCTGCGTTCTATTTCCTTTGGGATAAGTACTCGTATTATATCTTGAAATTGGGAAACTGGTACGATTTTGTTTGATTTACGTTTTGTTTTTTTATTCTTTTTGTGAACATGCCACTAACTATGATTTTCTAACCATGCAATTATTTAATTGGGTTAAATCATTTAGACTTGAACAGTTTAGATGCTTTATATCGTCTCCCACCGTTTTGTTTGTTTTTATACTTTATCACGATATTGAGGAAAAAAAAACATGTGAAAAAAAATGAGAGTTGCTACCATATATACCTGGGAAAAGTCTTTATGTATCTTCTCGACCGTCCCATTAAGTGCATCAAAATTCAAGACACCGATAGACACCGGTGCTAGTGCTTTTGTACAAGGTTGTAGAACTCGTTACTCGGTACCTGTTCGGCCGACTACCGAGTAGCGAGTACTCGGGAGTACTCAGGAGTACTCGGGGAGTACTCGGATTTGGTAATTCATGTAGTAATAGTTTTAGGGAAATTATATATGTCAAAATCATAAGTTAAAATCCTAAGTTGATTGAAATATATAACAAAATTAGATACATGTGAAAACACAAATACTGAAAAAAAAAACAAATAATGGTCTCACTTCGTGAATAATTACTAAAAATTTAAGATATATATGTAGTAATAATCACATGTGTGTATGTTAAATAATAAATCATTAAGTATATTATACATATTAATCACCGAGTTGACCGAGTTTTACAACATTGCTTAGTTCAGTAAGGGGCCGATCGAGGAGTACTCGGGATTTTGTAACTCGCCTCGGCAAGGGGCCGAGTAGCGAGTACTCGGAGGAGTAATCGGCCAACTCGGCGAGTTTTACAACACTGCTTTTGTAGATATAGACCGGAGTGTGTTGAGCAATACCGACTCCTCCATTTTTTTGGGATTTTGCAATAATTCTCCAACCCTAAAATCCATTTCAATCTTAACGTCCCGAAACATATAACCTTTTGTTCCCATCAAACCCTACTAATGGAAAAAAAAAATGAAATTAGTTTATTTGCATAGACAGATTTCGAGGATTTATTTTTTATTTAATGCATGCAAAAAAACGTGTTATTCTTTTAATTTTCCTATCAAGTGCTAACTTTTTACAAATAAGTCAATCATATATTTTTCCCAAATATATTTTAAACACCATCTACCAATATAACACTTAAATGGGAAAAAGGTCAAATTACGGGACCAATTGTTACACTATTAGAAGATGGACTTATTTGTATAAATAGTCTTATTGGGCGAGTGAGGAGTTGTATGTTGTCCGAATGGAATTTGGTACCTATCAAATTAAGGAGTCGTTTTTATAAACGAGAATGCACATGCATGTATTATGTGGTTAGATGTTGCATGCACGATAAGCATCCATTACATATGTATTGCATTTGCATATGTGATCATTTGGGTTGAGTGGAAGGTCACGAATAAGGTGAGTCTATGTTGTGGGATTGATCTACGGACGTAATATCAGGGAACTTTGGATAGGATATATCGTTAATTGACTAAAAATGATATTCTAAAAGAAATCAAGAAAATCACCACACTTTAGAAAATGGACGGAAAAAACGAAAGTGCTACATATAAGAAACAACAACATATTTGTCTATCATAGCATCATACTTTCTTTCCTTTTATATTACAACATTGTACAATCAAATTTTTCTTAATGATGTATTGAATTTTGAAAAATCAACTCAATTATATTTTTCATTCTAGAAAGTTGTACTTTCAAATATCTATTGGCTTACTAAGGGTGTAAATCGGATCATCGTATCGTGTTTTTGTCTGATACGACACGATAATGTTTTTTGTAACACGAACACGACACAATGTTGTATTTTTTTCAACTAACACAACACGGCATGATAAAGAAGGCGTAATATAAAAATTAATTTATTTAAATAATACATAATCATACATAACACGACAAACACAAAAAACACGACTCACAATTTCGTCTCGAATTTTTAACACGAAGACGATACAACGCGACATCGTGTTTTTTATACTTGATACAAACACGAAACGAGCATGAATTCAAATTTCAATTATGTCACAATTTCATTATGTATTGTCTACTTTTATCGTGTCGTGTCATCAATTGTCACCTTTATGGCTTAGAGCAGTGAAAATCGGGTAGATCTCTCAATATATAATATTATTATTGGAAGTTTCTATACTAGCAAAGCTATGAAAATCGTGTCGTGTACTTTTTTCTTTTCCTTTTTTTTCATATCAAGTCCTTAACTGCTAAATCGCCAAATAGTGTAATATATAGATTACGCTATAAGAAAAAGAAATTCAACACTTTCATGACCTTGTATTGGATTTGGGATGCATCGAACTCACAAAGTCAACCAGATTTCAATAGAATAGATTTCATAACCAAAATCCAACAGCTTGGCAGGTTGGCTTGCGTCAAATGTTTGGGGGTGTATCTAGTAAAACCATGCAACAAATGTTTAAATCTCATTTCTTCATATCCAAACTCTAATTCCGGTTCATGTTATATTATAAAAGAAAACCTAAACACGCAAAGACACCCCCATCAACAATTTTATTCCAATCATCACTTGGTAGCAAATAATAATAATAATAATAATAATAATAATAATAATAATAATAATAATGATGATGACCTTAACAAAAGACCCCAAACATAATTTAGTATACTTTCATATATCAGTTATCAATTCACAAAAATAATTTACAGAAGAAACAAAAGAAAGTCTTAAACTATAATTCAAACCAATTTGTATCTCAAAATCAACAACAGTATGTTATCAATCCTATAGTTTTCGATAGCAATAGCAACCATCTATCTATATGCTTAGACAATTAATATATATGTTCATTACGTGAAGTCTTAAACTATTTAAGCAATTTTAACCCATAAGTAAGCAAAAGAAAACGAATTCAGACAATTTGATCACACCTAATTAAATTATCAACAACATTCTCATCTAGAGAGACAGAAAGCCAAACACACAAAATCAAGAATCAAAACAATTTAAGAAAACATTCCCAAGAATCAAACATAAATTTAAACTTTTACCACAAGAACATTAACAACTAATAAGATTAAACTTAACTTTGTGCTAGTTGCATTCACACAAAACAACAGTAAACTTAAATTTTATCGAATAAAGAGTGATAGAGACAATTTGATCAAATAAAGTACGTAAGACAGAAATCAGAAACATGATTAATTTGATAAAATAATCTTTAACGATTAAAAAGAACATAGAAATTAGGAGTGAAAGACACATCAAAGAGAGAAAAACCTAAGAGCCTGAATCAGAGATGGAGAATTGAGCAGTGAGGGATCGCCAGAGGCGGAGTCGTGGAGGTCGTGGGCGGTCAAAGACGAGGACGTAAGGGTAAGTCAAGGCACGTATCTTCACTTTCAGCCAAGGCCACGTTCCACCCTAATAACTCTTACGCCGACTTAAAAATATAAACTTATAAAGAGATTTTTTAATAAAAATATATATACGTAAGCAGCAGTAATTATGGTAAATATTTTTATTACGACTAGCATTCCATATTGATTAGCATACTATAATATTCTTTTTCATATTTAAGTATCAAATTTTAGAGTCTTAGTTCCCTCCTATTTTTTCATTATTATTACAATTACTATTAATATTCCATGATTTATATATTAATTTTTTGGATTTACTTTTGAGAAATTAAGAAAACTAACTATTATAAATGAGTAACGTATTATTAATAATAACCAAGTTTTATAAAACCTAGAAAAATAACCATTTTTTCGGAAAAAGAAATTTCAGAGAAGTACTATTCATTCAAGAGTGAACGATGGTAGGTATAGTTTGGATTACGGAATCTGACATCGTATACTCCAGACTGACACAGTTAGTTCTTGAGTAAGATACTCAAAACCGTACATGTAGAACTAACATTTCGGACATACATTTTGGAAACATGTTCCAGACACACATTTTGGACACATAAAAACTAGGTTTTCTTTCCTTATATAACATGTGATATTCCATTTAGTTATTCACATACAACCAGAATCCATAATTCTCAATTATAATTGTTTAAATATGAGTTTCTCATATTGCGGCCATGAAGAAAGCTTTACATGTTTACATACACAACCTTGAGCGGACGAACCCTCATAGTTACACGAACATCAAAACCGATATTATGGGTCATTTCCAACTCTATTTTGTGGCTATTACACATGTGGTAAAATAATTTTGCTCTAAGTTTTAATTGTTTAGTTAAAATTTATAATATTTCTACAAATTATTGTTTGTTTTTTCTAAAAAAAAGTTCAGCTCCATGCATTCATAATTTGCTTGTTATATGTCATCTTTATAGGTTGTGTCGCTCTAAGAAAGGAGTACCTACAAACAATGTTCATATCGGTTAGAGGTGGCAATCGTGTCATGTCGTGTCGGGTTTGTGTCGTGTCGAAACACTAAATTGGTTGAAAGTGCGCGACCCTAACCCGGCCCATTTAATTAACGTGTCGTGTCGTGTCAACCCGTTTATTTTCGTATCGAGTTCGTGTCAGGTTTCGGGTTAGGGCTATACCTTGAAATATGTCGTGTCATGTGAGGTTAAAAGATTGAGCATGTTGAAAGAGTGTGAGTTGGGTAGACGGAAAAGAAAAACTAATAATTTGGAGGCAGAATAGATGAAGTCATAGCAAGTTCAAATGACAAAATTAAAAGAGTGGGAGTTGTGGAGGCGGATGACAAGGTCATGAGGATGTGAGAGTGGTGAAAGAGACTGGGTAGTTTGGGAAAGAATGGAAAAACTGAAATGAAGTCTTGATCTAGACGGCTAAGTTATTTCAACATTACAAAGCATTTCAATTCGAATGTTTTATTTTGATTATGGTTTTGGTTTTGTATCTTTCTAGATTATTTAAATAATTCAAAAAACATGCATATAAATAAAGGGGTCATTTTTTAGTCATATTCGAGTTAAAATTCTCGACCCTAACCTTACACATTTAACTTTCGTGTCGTGTCGTGTCGTGTCAACTCGTTTATTTAAACAGGTTGAAATATCTTACCCAAACATGTTTATTTCGTGTCGGGTTTCGTGTCGTGTCAATTTTTGTCACCTCTAATATCGGTTGCTATAGATGGAAACAACAAGACCCTGCCTATAACATTATGTCTTAGTGTGATAAATAATATCGACTCTTGTACATGGTTCCTGATGAGGTTGAAGGATGCAACTACGAAAGCTAGGGAAGTATCATTCATAACCAATACGGACGATGTCATAACTTCTCTCCTAAGTCAGGTATTCTCCGATTCTTATTAACATGGTTCCTGATTTTCAAGAAACATTATGTCGGCTAACCCATGCTGCATGTTGGCTTCTTACCAACATCGATCATGCGAAATGGGCAAGACCCTATTTCCATAACATCCGTTGTAATACATTCAACATCGATACTACAAAATTTTTCATGGTGTAATCGGTTAATGAACATAATGTATAAAGAATAACGCTTATTGAGGTAATCTATGAGTACCTTCAACATATTTTTATTCAACATAGGCATATAGGAGGTACAATACTATATAAATATTGATTTATAATTTAGTTGTAAATTACTATAAATTATAATGTTTATTTTTTAGGGAGGTTAAATGGCGTATGAACCTCGTATGTATAGATGGTGCTTCAAAGGAGGATGTAAAAGTCTGTTCGGTGCCAAGCAACAAAGACATAGTCCAACATTTTTCAAGTTTTTGATTTTAGAAAAACTTGTGTGGTGAGTTCATGAGGACATACCTAATTACTACCAGACTGTAACATCCCAATAGCAAGAATCCCTCTGTAAAACGACCCCAAGCAAACCTTTAGAAGAGAAGAGGGCATTTTGAGTCCATTAGAGTGTTTTAGAGGTGCTATTAAAGAAGAAGAAGGTGGTAAGAAGAGCTTGGAGCTTGGAAGCCTCTTGGATCTGAATTTTCCTTCTTATTTGCAACCTCCAGGAGGTTTTGGGTGAGCCGATATTTGGATCAATTTATCGTTCAACGTTTCGTTGGACTGTGAGGTAAGTCTTCCTCACTATACTCATGGGTCGAAGGCACCAAGGCCGACCCATTGGATTGGATATCTTTATATATGGTAGTATGTTATTATGTTGTAGAGATCTGTGAGATCGATATCCTGATATATAGGATGGTAGCATACGGTAGTGATCGGTAGATCTGTCTGTTTATTTGATTGACTGGTTACGATTTAGTTTATTGTTTCATGTACTCTCTTGAGATATGTACCATTGGTGGAGCGGGAGAGATTGGCTCAGGAGTAATTGGATATGAGGCAAGGGATTGAGTCAGTGACAGAGATCACCATGATGTTTACAGAGAGAGATATGTTTTGTCCTAAGTTTGTTGCTTCTGAGCAAGCTCAGATAACCCGGTACTTGAGCATGCTCAAGACAGACATCTGTCAATTTGTGTCTACGCAGCATTATGCTTCACTTCTTGATTTGTAAGAGGCTGCAAGGTGGAGTGAGATTAAGATAGAGCTCCAGATGAGGGAGCAGAGGCAGGCCCTTGTGTAGTCACAACCTGCTGCAAAGCAGTTCAAGGCTGCTGATTTAGGAGTCAGAGGGGCCGCACTTATGGGAAGTGCCGCAAGGTTTACAAGGGTCCTTTTCGGTTTACTTCTGGATACCACAAATGTGGCACGGAGGGATACTATGTGAGGGATTGTCGCCAGTCGTCCCCAGTTTCGAGTACTAGGATTTTTTTACCAATGTGATTAGGTTGGCCATGTAAAGGTTAACTGTCCATTGTTCACTGCTAAGTTGGTGCAGGCCCCGACATCAGCCACTCTAGGGATTACCGATGGGCTCCAGGGTAGGGCGGAGCCCCCGAGGGCTCGAGGCCATGTTTTCCATCTTACTGCCGAGGAGGTCAAAGCAGCACCAGACCCTATGCCTAGTATGTTTTGTTTATTGTTCTGTTGATTACTTTATGGTGTGCTTATATCTGTGTTTCCAATCCATACATTCTTACTGAACTCTTTGTTGGCTCTTATGTTTTTTGACTCAGGGCACGAGTCGCTCCTTCGTGTCTTAATCCTTTAGTAGATATTTTGATATGCCCCTTTGCGATTTATAGTGCCCGTTGTGGGTTTCTATAGCGAACAAACACAGGGTCTCTGCATCCAGAGTGTATTAGGGTTGTGTATTGGAGATCTTCGAGGTGCCTTACCCAATTGATTTGATCCATATCCCTATGGAGGATATATGCGTGATAGCGGGGATGGATTGGCTGAGCAGATTTGGTACCAAGATCGATTGCGAGGGCCAACGAGTAGTAGTTTGAACCCTAAGTGGGGGAGAACTGGTTATCCATAGAGAATGTACTAGGGTTAGTTCAAATTTTTGTTCGACAGCCAGGCCTCGACACTATTTCCAGCATGGGTGTGTAGGTTATTTGGCTTATGTGGTTGAGACTCGAGCATGGGAGTAGGTCTCGGTTTCAAATGTGCCATTTGTTAGGGAGTTGTCCATGTATTCCCGGAGGACTTACCCGATGTGCCTCTCGAGAGGCAGGTTGAGTTCAGGATTGATCTAGTACCAAGTGTGGCTCCGATTACCAAGGCATCGTACAGTTGGGCACCACCCGAGATGCAGGAGTTTTCCTCTTAGTTTCCTGACCTTCTCGGCAAGTAGTTCATTAGACCATACAGTTCTCCAAACACCATTAATAAACAAACCATGTACACGATTTTTGTTATTTTTACTTCTTACTGTAGCATAAAAAAGGCAGTATTTTCGTCACCATCAACAAGCCATTTGACCTTCGCCTTTTGTTGGAGATCAAACTTTGCAAGTCTCTCCAATTCAACAATCTTTCGTTTACATTCCTTTCTTTCTAGCAATTCACCAACAGATAATGCACGAGATTCAGCCATAAATTCCAATTCTGAGACTCTGTCCTTCGACTGCTTCAATGTTTCCAATTACTTATTAGAGTCTACAATTCTCCATTTGCGGATACAAGCTTTGACATACTTGATCTTAGACTTGAGAAACATATCTGGTAAACCGAAACCACTAAAGGAATTCCACGCCTTTAAAAATTCCTCATTGAATCCATCTTTATACAACTATGAGTTGAATAATTGAAATGTAGGTGGCCCAAAAGCTTGGTTAGAAGGTCTGAGAACGAGTGGTGAATGATTAGAGTGCTCACGGTCGAGGACGATAACCATGGATAATGGTTGTTGTGCAATGACATTAGAGCATACTAGAATTATGTCAAGCTTACTAAACTTACGGCCATCAACACACATGTATGTGAACTTCCTTCCACCATGATTAAATACTTGTAATCCCGCCTTCCTGATGAGTTCATTGAAATCATTGGTCGTGCGATGATAGAATCTAGAATTAATCCTTTCATCAGCTCTCCTTACTATAATGAAGTCTCCAAGAAATATCCAAATACCATTAGTATTGCTTTTTAGGTTAATCAAGTCTAACCAAAGCTTTCTTTTATCCAACTTTGCTTGTAGTGCATATACATTAACTATAACTGTGGCCCCGTTTATGCCTTTCCATTTACCTATTACTACAATGAAGTTTTGGGATGATGTAACTTGACTTTTAGAGAAAATGTTTGGATCCCAAATAGAGACAATCCCATTAGACCTACCAGTTGGGTTAACAAAAACCATATCATAGTTATTGTTTCCCCAAGCTCCCACAAAATGAATCGTGGTTGAATCAGCTACTCGTTTTGCTTGAAGACATATGAATTCGACTTTATGTGAATGTTTAAGCCTGTGCAACCAATCAATTTTGTGAGATTCCCCATATGCCCTTATATTGAGACTTAAGTAATTCATTAGGTCTTCATTTTAACGTCATCGCCTAGGTTTGCAATTCTAGTGACAATTAGGTCGTCTTTTGAGAATTGAAACCCAACATCACAACCAACCTTGACAATTTTAGTGAGTTCACAAGATGAGGAACCTATGTCATCAACTGAATGATCTTCCTTAGAATTAGACTCAGCAGTGGATGTGTTGAGATCGAATGGAGGAACTGATGTATTAATGACTGCAAGGGGATCTTCAACACTTAATCCAACCTGTGGATTTTCAAGGTCTTCAGATATTAATGCCACCGTCTCCGGAGCGACATACTCGCCAGATTCTTCAATGATTTCCCCATCTTCAAGGACATCATCTTGTTGGACCGGACCCATCCATGTATCAGAGATCGCATCTTCCTCAGAATCTTGGTTTTCATCTTCCTCGAAATCTTGTTTGTCACCTTTATCTCCTTTAGAATCGTTCACCTCCATGTCATCTTCTGCTTCATCATCAATATCATCATTGACTTGGGGAATAGGGTCCTTCTGTATCGATCTATCAAAAGGCATCCAATCTCTATCATATTCTACAATACCAATAGGATATACTTTGTTTCTAAAAGAGACGTTGACCACATTGTTTATAATTGTGTTATGTTTGGTAATGATGCAAACCTCACCAGTAGAAATATCAAAAGCCTTCCAGTCCACACCAATAATCTCAAGAGTGGTCCCAAAAGCATTTGCAATACGTGAAAAGTTTTCATTGGATCTAAATCTAACCGGCAAGCCTAGAATTTTTAATCCATGTAATCCTCTCTGGTATCAAGTCATCATTGAATCCCATTTTGAGCCATTTGAACCAACATTTCCAATTATGTTCATTATCATAGAATGCCTTCGTAGATTTTGAATTGATGAATTTTAAAATAACATTTAAACCACTGATGTAATATACCATACCAGCGGGGGTTTCCGTCGAAAGGAAGTACGGTGGGTAAATCTGTAATTTGTTGGATACTAATTATCTCACCAACCATCACACAATCTTCCATTCCAACAGAGAATGTTGCAGGATTGATAGCAATGGGATTCGTCCCTGATGCTAATGGTCTAGAAGTCGTACCTTTAATCACCTCCGCGAACGTTCTTGAATCTCTAGTTGCATTAGTTGCTTTCCATGCTACCTGGTATGATTTTTCAGGAGGCACTACATGATTGGTGTTGATTTTGAATCCTTTGGGACCTTGGCGTTTTTGATATCTTGCGATGTTGACTCTGAGAATGTAGTGTCCACATCTGACTCTACTCATTTCATGCTCCAAAACTTTTGCATCTCGGATGTTTTCAAACCTAACAAAAGCAAATGTTGAACCCGAGCGATCGTTTTTACCTCCAATGTAGATGTCCACCACTCTTCCATATTTCGGAAAGGATTTTCATATTTGTGTCTTCGAGACTCCTTCAGGAAGATTGGATACGTAGTAGGATGTTATGACATTCTCATTGTTGTTTACTCTGTGCAAGTTGCATATTCGCCGGACCTCCGGCCAGTCATCATGACCATCCGCCTTCTCAAGACCTTCCGCATCCCTTGAGATCAATTTGATGTATGTTTACATTTTGTTATTCGTTATAGATATAAATCAATATATGTTTTATAGACATTTATTAGCATTTAATATATGTTTTATATACCTTTATTAGCATTGTTTTTCATTTATAAATATTAAATCATAATTTATAGAATTAAAAGAATAATTAAATAAGTGTATGGATGTGCGTTTCTTTAAAAATATATATATATATATATATATATATATATATATATATATATATATATATATATATATATATATATATATATATATATATATATATATATATATATATATATATATATATATATATATATATATATATATATACTTTTACTATACTTTTACGCAGTTCATGTAGTTATTTTTGATTTGAGGTTGCGTCGGATTTTTCCCAAGGAGTGACCATGTGTTGCTATTCTCAATAAAATTATATCATTGTCCAATGTCCATTGAATTATCAAGAGGGCAAGAAGGATTTCGATCAATAGGAAAACGAAGTACGGTCGTTTGGATCATTTTTAGGGCCAATGTCGTAATTATAATATATATTATTTCGAGACCTTGAATTCTTTTGTGGGCAGGAGGAGTTTAAATTGATAACTTCCTAATTCTATCTTATTTGCTTGGGAGAACTGCCAATTATTGATGGTATAAAATTGGTAGTGGGCTCCATATTTGATTCCAGATCCATTGGACTTTCTAGATCTAGTCGGGGGATATATGTCATTTTTTTTTTTCGAAGGGGCTTTTTCATTTAAAGCAACATATCCATCACATAATCAAGTGACGCCGTTTTCAAAATAAAAGGGAAAATGATTTTTTTTGATGATAACTAACTATTGTGTTTGTTTTCATTTGATCATTTTTTTGTATTCAATATACCATCGAATTTGTTGTTTGTGTTCATCATAACTTTTTGACAGGATTTTGACATGTGATACCCGATCAAAGGGTTATGGTGAACACAAACAACAAGTTCGATGGTATATTGACTACAGAAAAAAAGAAAAGCGACCAAACGAGAACAAACTCAACAGTTGGTTACCCTCCCGAGTCATTTTTCCTGAAAAGTTAAATGAAATTAAAGTTGTAAAATTGTCAAAGACTGCAACCTTCTTTGGCCATAACGTATATAAAGAGCGTTTCGGATGGGTAACTTCGTTAAAACATGGTCTATGATATGCTTCCTGTGGTTAGCTGTCAACACCTCTTTACAAAAGGATATGATTGTGCATGAGAGGTGTATTTATCAGTATAAACGTTACCTCAATGTATATTATGGTAATGTGTTTGAAAAAGCTGCATGATATTGTACATATAGATGTTGTATCTTATCCAATGAATTCGATCTTAAAGCTAATTAAACTCAAAAATATCAACACTTGTGATTCCACTCGTTTGTATACTTGTCTAGAATCCATAATACGATAAATCATTTGATTGAAAATGTAAATGTAGTCATGAAATTCACCTGTTTAGTCAAGATTCCCCTAATAAATATTCAAGTGCATTACAAAATTATACATATATGAATAATATTCTTACGTGGGTTATGTTTGAATCTCATAAACTTATTAATATCAGTAGGAGATGATGTGGGATTTGTTGTAAATGACTAAAGGAAAAACAAATCAGGAGGGTAGTCAACTGTTGCATTTGTTCTCATTTGGTCTATTTTCTTTTTTTGTACTTAATATATCATCAAACTTGTTGTTTGTATTCATCATAACCCTTTGACCGGCTATCACAGGTCAAAAGTCGGTCAAAAGGGTTATGGTGAACATAAACAAGTTCAATGGTATATTGAGTACAAGAAAAAAAAATGAAAGAGATCAAATAAGAACAAACGCAACAGCTAGTTACCCTCAATAGTCATTTTCCTAAAAAAAACAACACCTTCTTCACTGTTGTCTAAAATTTTTAAATTATTTCCAATAATAGGATTTTTTTCAAATTGAGCCTTCATAATTGGACATTCCAAATTAATGACAGTATTACCCAATGTTTTAAACGATTTTTTAATCGAAATGGTATGGTGACCAGGTTCTGGTTCAACCAGTTTGACTGTCAGGTCAACCGGTTTCTATTGTTTTCATGTTTTTTTCTATTTTCCTACACATACATACATATATAAATCATGAATTTGATGTTTTCAAATTCAAACATTAAAACAACACATAATCATATGTTTCGTGTTTTACATCAATCCATATATATCAAAAAGAAAATAAAATATAATACGGTAACGAAATATAGTTTTAAATGAATACAAACACATAAAAAATTATAAATTTACCATATGTTTTTATTTACAAAGAACTAAATAGATATGAAAAAAAAAAAATCACCAAAATTTATTATGTAAATTGTTTTTTTCATTTATTTTTATTCGGTTTAACGGATTTTTTCTAAAATCAGGTTCAATCCGGTACAGAACTCAATGTAAAACCAATGATAATTAAACCGTTCTCTCCTCGGTTTCCGGTCCAACTAGCCTGATCAAACCGACTTTTAAAACATTAATATTACCTTTACACATGGGGCCCAAAAAAAGGAATGGATTGAATTTCTTCTTCTTCCCATCATGAGAGCCATGCATACTTACCATCTTATTTGATTTTTAGCTATTTTCTTAATCGTCAAAAATTTTATTGTTGCATGCATCAACTTTTGACGATTGAACATTAACCATATCATCATTATTTGAACTTTTTCCATTCTATTACCATTAAGTTAACAATTAATGTCAATATTATAAATTCATAATCAACTAAAACACTCAGTTATACCATTAAGTAAAAACTTCTTTATGATAACCAAAACCAAATTCCTAATTCTATTACAAAATTCATGCGAAACCATTAACAGAAAATCCTCCATCAACAGCAATTGTTTGGCCAGTGATGTAAGAAGCAGCAGGTAAACAAAGGAACGCCACCATTGATGACACTTCATTTGCTTCTGCAACACGTTTTAGAGGTGTTCTTGAAGCCACTCTTTCCAAATACTCCTCATTTTCTAGCAACTACACAAAGCAATTTGGTAATATAAATTATAAAATTCCAGTATGATCATAGAGAAACAAAAGGGAATCTGAGAAAGATGAGAAGATCAAGATATTACATGTTGGACAAGTGGAGTTTTAGTGTACCATGGTGCTACACTATTAGTCCTTATGTTATCTTTAGCCCATTCACATGCTAAATTCTTTGCAAGCTGATTCATTGCACCTTTGTAAAGAAAATTCGAAGTTAAAAACTTAGATCCCTTTTCCATGAGAAATTAGAGTCTTGAAATTAGGAAAATTGGAGAAGGGAAAGTGTATATATACCTTTAGTGGCTCCATAGATGGAACCAGAAGCAATGTGAATAGAACCTGCAACAGAGGAAATGAACACGATGCTTCCGACTCCAGATGCTTTTAAAAGAGGGTGTGCAAGTTGACACAGATGGTATGAAGATTCCAAATTGGTAGACATGAGTTTGGAATACTCTTCTGAAGTGTAATCGGTTGTAGCTTTCCTGATGTTTGTTCCAACATTGTTTATCTACAGGAAAGAATTTTATTTTATGGAGGATGTTTGTAAAAGCATTCGTAAAACGCAACTCATTCCTGTTTAACCTAGAAATGTCTATCCGTTATTCAAATAATTAAGAAAGAGCACAAACGAATTGTGGATCTGGGATTGGTTTCGAAAAGTAACAATTGAACGAATTGTGGATATAGAAAGTTAGAAACAGAAACTTGTTTCAAAAGTCTCTCGATGATAATTTGCGATATAAAATAAAACATCGTAATATATGGAAGCAATTAGGGAAAAGTTAACATTTGTAACAAAATCGAAACAACTTACTAGAATGTTGAGCTTTCCATTGAAGATAGAGGAGACTTTTTGTAGAAGCTGTTCGCGTTGAGGACGAGAAGTTGCGTCGCAGACGGATCCGGTGACGGTGAAGCCCTTGGAAGACCATTCTTGTAAGCGGAGGTTGAGCTCAGCCTCGTTGCGAGAGCAGGTGTGCACCGCCGCCCCTAACCCTGCCAATTCCTCCACCACAGCGTAGCCGATACCACGTGTGCCGCCGGTGACGAGAGCAGTCATTCCGGCAAGAGACCATCTGGAATTTGTAGTGACAGAACTGCTCTTCACCGTCGTCATAATCGATGTATCCTGATTTGCTACGTTTGTTTGGCAAAAAGACAATTTCTTCCGCTTTTCAATTGATGTTCAGTTGTTCACACCCTTTTTGTTGCAATGCAACGTGGAATTTTATGTTATCGAAAATCGCAACTTTATAACAAACCAGGTGGATTCACGGGTCACAATATATATATATATATATATATATATATATATATATATATATATATATATATATATATATATATATATTTACTATCTTATAAAAGAAATCTAATTATTTCTAAAAATAGATTGATTATAATAATAATATTTTTTTAAGACGTCCGAAGCTGATAGTACAAGTAAACATTAATAAAATAATATTAAATCTTAACCACATTTTGAATTCAAATATTTATCATCAAATCTTCTTATATTTCTCAACAATTTGATATTGTTCCCTCAAATCCCGGATTCAATCAAATTTTGAACCTTTTTAGATATCCTTAAATTTAGCATGTTGATTCAAATATCTCTCCAATCGCATATACCTCTTTGTTCCCCTCATCTACTATAAAACCCACCGTCTATGAACAAAAAATGACTTCATCTCCCAAATAACACCATAGTTTGATTATTTTGTTTTCGACATGTACTTTCTTTTGTAACATAACATTTTTGTAGAGGAAACATATCACCGAAAGAATTTACACACCCCGCCGCTTTGTGCGGGTACGCTGCTAGTGTGTGTGTGTATATATATATATATATATATATATATATATATATATATATATATATATATATATATATATATATATATATATATATATACTAGTTTATAACCGTGATAACCACGGTTATAAAAT